TCTCAGCATTTTTTCTCGGTGTCTTTACTTGTTTTTCTTTTTTAAATCTATCAGAAATATGTTTGATTTCATGTCTTTGTTTAACTGACTGTCGTGAAGATGCTGTTGAAACTGATTCGAAATAGGTTTTCATTGGAAAAGACCATTTCAAACTCACTGATAACCACTATGTCATTCACTTAAAATATCAACAGATAACGCTAGATCTAGAGCTAGACGATCTTTGAAACTTTCACATTTCTTAAGTGTTGGTCGTTAGGAACTATGGTTGATAAATCACAATGTAGATCAACAGCACGGCTGAGAGAAAGGCGCATGGTGCGGTGGTGAGCGCGTTAGCCCACGGAAAGGGTAATAGCGTGCGCGGTTTCCACCGCAGACACCAGCGGTCTGGAGTTTTGCAAGTATCTCAGCATCATTATTGCTATGCTTGATAAAGTTTATCAGCAAAAACGGCAACCTCTGATGAGGAAAATTTTTCACTAAAACGAATGCTTCCTCGGTAGAAAACTAAATTCAGTTTTACTTATGGCATTGGTAAAGTTTTTCTTTGCTACTAGCTAAACAATTAGTTTAAACTTTAGGAATTTAAGTTTAAGTACTTTAAAGTTTATTACTGGAAATAACTGCTACAAAATAAGTTTTCCACAAAAGATAGCTTTTGATGAAGACAATACAAAACTGGCATATAAGTATTTAGTATTCTCTTTATAAAGCAATGAATGATAAACGGGTCGGTACTTAATCTCTGAGAGATGCTCTATGCATTCAACTCCATTCATGGCGTCACAGAGGTGTTAGAATGCATATCTGGCTCACTTGCGGTGGTCTATGGCCTACCGATTTATCAAGTCATTGCTGTTATCCTCTCATACTAGTCTCGTGCCAACTTTCGGATTCCGGAGAGGTTAAAGACTTTGTGAGCCCAAGGCACTATTCGTTATATATTTTCTATCACTCTGATTCTTCATATAATGGATGAGGAAGGAAGCCTGATGCCACGTGTGCAGAAGAATGAGATGACTAGGTTGGACAAAAAGCCTCAGCAAAAGCAAGAAAGCAGTAGCTACCATGTACGTTGTTATGAGGAGTTACTAATTTGTTACATTTCTTCCAGCATGTCTAGTTTGGGCAAGGCAAATGCAGTGGTTATGGATGATAGACACGTGTAGCCTTTTAATGAAAACTACACTGCGCCAACCAAAACTACCACCTCTCTTGGATCGGTGTATGACAACCAGACTTCTTTGGAAAGACTCCGTCCTCTCCAAAAGAGACGCAAACTGCCTCTGTGGTAAAAATCAGAAAAGGCCGTACTAGAGCTATTTCAGGATCACTAAAGGTATCAACTCGACCAGCATTAAATGGCATTCATGAAGGAGGTAAAATTCTCAGAAGTGGCAGCCAAATTCACACGCATATCCGACGGTTTTCGTGGATGGCAGGTGTAAAGAAACGACTGGAGCGAAAGACCTGCAAAGATACTCCCAATGTGTGAACTTGGGTCAATAAGTAAACATATAAAATAGTTAGCTATTACTGCTTTTAGGGCGCGTGTGGCGCAGTGGTCGGAGGCGCCCTGCAATACACATGGGATCGATCACAATGCCGACATTACCATCCTTTGGAAATTCTCAAGAAGTTCTTTATTGCTAGGCGATGACAATGTTCAAACATGGAAATGTAAAGACCTATGTTAACCTTTTGGGCGCGTGTGCCGCAGTGGTTCGAGGCGCCGCTACGACACACACGTGAAATCGATCCACGCGCCCATGGCTCACCGATCCTTCCATCCCTACAGGGTCGGCAAATTAGTAGCAGAGTTGTCTAGAACGATAGCAGCACTGGCTCGATACATCGGTAGGCCACCGTGAGTCATTGTAAAGGCCAGATATGAATTCAATCGCCTCCAACAATGCTTAACGAAGTCGAATGCATGGTGCATCCCTTAGGGATTGATCAACAGCTTGTTTCAAAGGCTTTTAATTATTTAGATTATTTGAAAATCATTCCCAAATGTCTTTCGAGCTAGCATTTCTTACATTCTTATAGCGGATGTGTGGTAGCACGTGCTCAGTAACTAATGACCCTTAATGACCGGAGAGAGTTGTGTTAGAATGAGGTTATAGTTCTTCCAGGACGGCAGTGTAATCGATTTATGCCCACTGACTGGTCATTATGGTAGAATAGATCGAATCCTACGGATTAGGTGAAGACGTATTGTAATAGAATCAAATTCTCTACATCATATTAGGCATTGCTATAGTAGTTGACGCTTTGAGTATGTTTTTTCTTGTAATTCCATTGCAGCGCTATTAAAGTGTTCCTTTATCGGCATCGTGATTACTCAGCTTCTACCTTGGATTCTACTGTTCTTCCAGAACCTCGAAGATTTCAGCAATTTCCCAACATTCCCCAGTCGATAAAAATGTTTTTCAATCTAATTATTTATAAAGTTACAAATCTGGTCGAAAATCCTTTGTTAAGAACAGATAGTTATATGCTACTACTACTTTAGGATCACCATTACGTAACAGGGTGTAATATAATGTAAGCACTTATATGACCCGATGTAAGACGCTGTGAGGATCCCAGCACTTCTCTCATCTCGCACTTCCTTGTATCCGTCATCCACAAAGATTACCATATATACATATAGGCGGAGCTGCCACTTAAAAGACTTGTTGTCTTCATGAATACCGAGAAATTCTGGTTGAGTTGATTCACCTAGAATCCTTGGATGGCTCTGCTGGAGCATTCCCAGATCTTTTCTAGAACGTGTCGCTAGATTTTGCAGATAGCAGGGAGCTTTCTTCCGGCAAGGATGGTACCGATATCCAAACCCTGGAGGGATGGAGGTTGGTTGGCTAAGGCAATGACCAAAGGCATCTCTAATCATTGCACCGCTGCATTTCTCGAGTTCTTAGAATGTTACATGTGTATTCTTTAAATTAGATTATTGAAGACATGAAAATAATGAGTAGAGAGACTTCTTCTCAATCCGAATTAGATTTTGGTTTCACAAAACGATGCGTTGAGCTTCGTTAATAAGTACTTTGGAAGCCGAAAGTCTTGAAAGATTGAAGGACTCGCATGGTGTGGTGGTAAACGCGTTCGCCCCGGGGAGGATAATAGCTAGTTCGGTCCCTACCACAGGCGCCAGTGGTCCGTAATTTCGAAAATACTTCACATCATCTTGGTTATCTTTTACATAATATCGTCCTGTGGAAAGATTGGTGAGTTATTCAGCGAAAGAAATATCCTTCAACTTTTGTTAAGGTAAAATAAAAAAGTAAATCTCGCTGATCAATCTTTGAGGGTTGCGTCATGCATTCGACTTCATTAACCATCGCATAGAGGTGATGGAATACATATCTGGCCTTCACAGTGACTGGCGGTGGCCACTGAAACGCGAGGTGTTGTTCAACAAAAATGCGAAGAATTACTTGATCAATGCCGAAGTTAATAGAAAGTCGGTCGTGGGAGTTAAATATTGATTTGTCACACAGAGGTTCAAGAAAAGTCGGTTTCGAAATATACCACGTTTTGTATGGGTCGTTTTCTTGTTCAACAATCATGAGGCTTTTAAACAGCATACATTTAACTCTATAGAGAAACACAATACAATACAACGCTAGTTGACGTTTCGGCAGTATCGCCTTCTTCAGAACCTGGAAAGGTGTGCTGATATACAACCTAATAGGCCAAACGCTTCAATAACACTTACAAAAAGACGAAAAACTCTATGGTAATTACATGATTAACAGCTTCTCGAAAAACTCACCGCTTCTCACGTGACTTCCAGTGAGGAAGTTTAGAACAGCTGATTATAGTCACATATGGTTGATGACTGTACCATCCCATATCAGAAATTGATGCGAACATACGGGGTCAGGTCGCGTATGACCTCTGGGCATTCCTCCCTGCTATTCATTGTAGGGCTTTTGGCGTTTATCCAAAAACCTCAAAAAGCTTTCGCGCTGGTGTTTTAGTCTCCTGTGCAAGAATATTGACTTTTACTCCAAAATCGTCTCCGCTATGCTTTTGTATCCTATGCGTGCCTAGTGGGGTGCTTCGTCTTAGTTTTCGTTTACCATCTAGGTATTCTTTTATACGGATACACAAAGGTCTGCCCATTTCGCCAATATATTCATCTTCACAATTATTACAAGAGATCAGGTATATCGTACCTGAACTCACACAATAACCGTCACTGCCGTAAGGGCAAATTACGCAATTTATTGTTTCACATTGACGGTCATGCAGCCGATTACGAACTAACTGACGAGGTGTAGTAACCGGTGGTATTTCAACTATCGCTGCCGATTCCTCTAGACCTACCCTTCTTAAGCATAGTTTAAAAGCTACGCTTACTTCATCGCTAATGAAGGGCTACATAAATGGAACTTTCTTTTGGTTAAAGTGTTTCGTGCGGGCGCGTCGCTCTCGTTCTAGACTTATCTCGTGGGGTTACTATTTCGTAGCCATTGGAAATGGCTATTTGCCGAGCCAAGTCGCGCGACTCCTCCTTTAGTTCCCTGGTAGTGCACACAGAGGTGGCTGTTCGAAACATGTTTCTTGCAAGCGCCCTTTTCGTGTGAGAAGGGTGAGAAGAGAGGTAATGAACCAAAATGTTTTTATTACTTGGCTTTTGATACCATTTCGTAATGTAGCCGTTTTCTGATGGGTTAATTTGCACGTTCAGAAATGGAAGCCAGTTATCTTTGACTATTCGTTCAACAACTCGAAACATCTCTCAATTTCTTCTTGTGTTGAGCAAATGACCAAGCGGTCAACTATATATCTGCAGTAGAGTAGTGGCCCGAGAACAGGGGCTTCTATCCTAAACATAAACACAACGGCAAGGCTTGGTGCCAGTCGCTGTCCCATTGCCAACTCCCTTATTTGCGCGAAATATTTCCCAGACCATCTGAAAATCGAGCAGTTTAGGCACTCTTTTAAGAAAGCCATTAGCTGCTGGATGATCAAGCCATGCATATTTATTCTTTCTTCATGTTCAACAAGAAGTTCGAAGTGGCTTGCATTGCAGAACCATTCGACACGTTGGTGTACAGCGCGGTAACGTCGAAAGACTCCAGCACGTACCCGTTATTAGGAAACGCATTACGTAGACGTTCGAGGAACATTTGGGTGTTCGTGAGGTGAGCTGGAATATGTTTAAGCAACTGGGTAAGTATCAGGCTTAAAAACCAGGTTATTCTATCCGTTGGCCCGTCTACACAGCTGATGATCGGTCCAACCTTAAATGATGACGGATTGGTTGACGCATGATCATCAGGTGATACCAACTTATGTGTTTTAATAAGTAGATATAGGACGGGACATGTTGGTTTATCGATTTTATGGTGCAAAATAACCGGTGATTTTAAACCTGTAGCCTTTGCCACACTGACCCATTGATTGTTTAGCTTTCGATATTGACTTTTATATTCCTTTTCAGAGGATGGGCGATAGAGGGTAGCATCACTAAGAAGTTCCTCTATTATCTCAACATCCAACTGGCGAAGAATAACTACGAACTCTCCCTCCTTATCACTAGCAGACAATCTTATTGTTTCCGAGTTTATTAATTCTCTAATTTCTCGCATACCACATTTTTGTGCTGCTGTAAGGTTAGAGATAACCTTCTATCGCGGTAGTTATCAAGGGTCTTGAAGACGCAGTCCGAAAACACGCCGAATTTTATGTCAACACCATCTAGGGTCACCATGATTGGAAGCATAACAATACCTGAGAATGCGCCCTCTCTATTAGAATTGGGCCCAAGTTTTGCATCATCACAGCCTATTTCTAAAACGACCCTGCGTAGGATAGCATGCAACCCTTATGAGCTTCAAGATCGACTCCGCTATCAGGCCATGCAAGAAACATCAAATAGAGATAAAAATCAAGAGGCGGCGGCACTACCACCACCTCCTTTCCCAAAAACAACTTTTAGACAGCAGGACCCTAACGCAATGCGAGCCATCTTCGAACTTCTTGTTGAACATGAAGGAAGAATAAATATGCATGGCTGGTCCATCCAGCAGCTAATGGCTCTCTTAAAGGACTGCCTAAACTGCTCGATTTTCAGATTGTCTTAGAAATATTTCGCGCAAATAAGGGGGTTGGCAATGGGACAACGATTGGCTCCAAGCCTTGCCATTGTGTTTATGTCTAAGATAGATGACCCTGTTTTCGATCTCCGGTCACTACTCTACTGCAGATATGTAGATGATTGTTTTGTCGTCTTCTCTACGCAGGAGGAGATGGACAAATGCTTTGAATTATTGAACGAGCAGTCTGAGTACATAAAGTTTAGCCGTGGGAAACCGAGAAAAAAATGGCTTCCGTTTTTGAACGTTCAAATAAACCTGTCAAGCAGCTGTTACATGACAAAGTGGTATCGAAAACCAAGGAACAAAAACATTGAGGTTCATTTCCTTTCCTCCCACGCTTTGCACACAAAGATAGCGCTTATGAGAAACATATTTCGAACAGCCACCTCTGTGTGCACAACCAGGGAACTAAAGGAAGAACTTGGCGACTTGCCTCGGCAAATAGCCATCTCCAATGGCTACGAAATAGTTATCGCACGACATAAGTTTAGAAGGAGAGCGACGCCCCCACGCCAAACACTTGGTCAAAAGAAAGTCCCGTTTATGCTGCCTTTTATAAGCGATAAAGTAAGCGTAGCTATAAAACGATGCTTAAGAAGGGCAGGTCTAGAGGAATCGGTAGCGATGGTTGAAATATCACCGGCTACTCTACGTCGTCAATTAGTTCGTAACCGCCTGTGTGACCGTCTGTGTGAAACAACAAATTGCGTAATTTGCCCTTACGGAAGGGACGGTGATTGCATGAGTTCAGGTACGATATACCTGATCTCTTGTAATAATTGCGGGGATGAATATATTGGCGAAACGGGCAGACCTTTGTTTATCCGTATAAAAGAGTACCTAGATGGCAAACGAAAAGGCAAGATACACCACTAGGGACGCGTAGTATATGAAAGCATAGCGGAGACGATTTTGAAGTCAATATCCTTGCACAGGAGACTAAAACACCAACACGCAATTACCAAAGAAGGCTCTGAAGAAGGCGATACTGCCGAAACTTCAGCTAGTGTTGTATTGTATTGTGTTTTTCTATGGAAGTGAATGTATGCTGCTTAATAACCTCGCGATTGCTGAACAAGAAAACGACGCGTTCATATGCCAATGCCGAGGTTAATAGAAAGTCGAACCTGGGAACTACGCTTTGTGCTAACTGACAATAACACCGACTTCTGCATGTTTGATTGTCCGGGAAAAACAAGTTACTATCACACTATAACCTGACAATCACAGCTATCCACCATCAACAACCTGCATAAAAGGGCATCACTGAGTAAGGATGCCTCGTTCGAGGAGATGGCTCACCGAAGAAGACCTGACTCTACACGAAGGCGAAGCTGCCACATCGAGACGAATAACAAGGCAGGACCATCGACTCGGATCATCGGCTCTGAGGAAGACGAAGACATCGAAACGTTAGCCGAAAATAAATATAATTATCAACTTCGTGTAAGCTCATTAAAGAAAGAATACTAAACATTTTGTTTTCTATATCCCTTGAGACAGCAAAACAAAATTTAATATTATTCGAGCTAGGGTGACGATCGATCTATCCAGAACTATTTGAACTGTTATTATACGTGAAAATTTTTCGGCTACAGCTTTCACTTTGCAAATAACCTTCGTTATTCGGCTTCGTCTTCGTTATGAATGTCGTATAATGCTGATCGAGTCGGTTATACAACATAGGAGATAGCTGAGCTAAGGCGTTCCAACGTGAATTGGAGGAAAGCGTTGAAGAGAGCGGGAAATCAGTCAGTACCAAACTTCCTGGTGAACTGTATAACTAAGCAGAAAAGAGGGTGCGGCATGGACAGTGTGGCCAATAAAGAGCCAGAAATGCTTTGCTTGAACGCTTGGATTCGGCACATAGAGGCAACTTTTCTCTGCGATAAGATAATGATTAGATCACCGTGGTGACTCCTTCAGGGGAGTGGCATCAGTGGCATGCAAGGCAACTTGCTTTTGGTAACAGCCATCAATTCATTTTGTTAACTTGAATTTATCTTACAGTCTACATCTTAGAGTTTATACATGCATGCAATAAAAGCTTTGTAAAATAAACAATAAATTATAGACAATAACTTAATAAGTAATTAAAAATATAAATAATAATAATAATAGAACAAAACACATACAATACACAAATTTATTCAGCATTTAACTCGACAACAGTAGCTAGTAAAAATAACAGTAACACTAGCACCTTGTAATTTTGGGTTACAATCGAAATCCATGGGGCACACAGGTATCGCTCATACCTACCCTAAGTCATTCGCAATTTACACGATTAACTTTCACGCCTTACCTTAAATCAAAATATTCACACAAAAATTAACATTTCTGCCTAAAATAAATGATCTTTAAATAAAATTCAGTGCCGGTGATACACAATTAGTACGAAGTCTGTTGAAGCATTCAAAGCAGTAATGTTTTTTTTTTACAACGGCTGCATCTAGTTTAACCCTTAGGGCAGTATTTCGGTCTGTTCTCTGACAGCGTTGCAACAGTCCACACATCGTCTTAGTTCTTTCGAACCCCCAATTACCACTTTTTTCATCGAAATGTGACGGTGTCGGCGAACTCCTGCTTACAATACAATGCAAGAAGACATCCATCTTTAATTCATTCAGAGAGAAAGTTTCTTGCACTCACTTACCATATATCCCTCGTGCGATAACCAGGCACGTCTGAGTAACCAAGAAGAAGGGTTACGTGTACCTGTAATTCAATATTTTTTATTTTTAGTGGTCTATGAATTCCACATAGGATAGTCGCTTGGAGAAAGTATAGGAACATTTGCAAAACTCTGGACCGCAGGTGTCTATGGTGGGGAACGAACGCGCTATTATCCTTTCCGGGGAGTAACGCGTTCACCACCACACCATGCGGGTCCTTTGTTTCGCACGTCTCT